CATTGATTTGCATGTTAGCCTTTGATTATAAATGATTCTACAATAGAACTTGTAAGTTATAACCAAACCTCCCCGCTAATCTACATACCATCCAACGTTGCACACTTGTTCATCCTATTGGTTGATGCTCTCTACTGGAGTGTATAGGCAAATAAATAAAAAAATAGGACACCATATTTGTTGGTCTATTTTCAGAGAGATAGTTGAGCCAAATATTTCTGCATAATAATCCCAGATAGTAGAAAAAAGGCAGTGATATTTCTATATGCTATATACAGGCTAAATCTTAATATGTATATTCTGTTTTATCTATTTGATGCACACATCAATGGAAATATATCTGCATCTATAACATGCAAACATGTTGCTCGAAGTATGCTGAAGATATCCAGAATGTCATTAAATCTTAATCAAATATTTTTCAAATGAATATGTGATTGCAGCTGAAATTAAACGGTGCATTAAACTATAGTGCTACTGGCTAGAACTTTCAAGTTCCTTCCCAGTGTCATCTTTCATAATGTTTCCTTTTAAGTTGGTTTAATAACATAATCATTATTCAGAAATGAGCATTTGTGAAAAAATTAATAATTACTTTGTCACTATTTATTTAATGAATCCCTGGAAAGACTTCATTAAATTATAAATGCCTCGTTACTGATATTCTTATAATAGATTTTTTGAAATTATAGTGTGAGCCAGTTATCCATTTCAAGGAAGATACAATGCTGAAAGATCAGCACACGTCCAGTGAAATTACTGCTGGTTTTCCTAATGCAATATTCATGAGAACTTGCCGGAGACAATCACATTTAATCCCAGAGAATAAGAATTTGAAATGAATTCTTTTAAATTATAATTGTCCATTGGTAAGAAACTTCGGCAAGTCTTATTGTTTCTATAATTGAAATGGCTTTCTATTCTGTCAACCTGGGAGAGATGTGTTTGGAGAATATTTACAATTTCTGAATGGAAAAAGTAAATATAGGTTCTAAACATAACTGATATTAATAGTTTTTGGTTTATATTCATTTTAATGTAATCGTTTTCAGGGAAAAAAATTGATCCTGCATCTATCATTTATGATTAATTGTTTTTCAAGGATGTGATGTTACCTGGGTGAGTAATAATGTCTGAATTAGGGTAGTCTGTTATCGCTTAAGTCTACGTTGGTGGTATTCAGTTGTGTTCTAGCAGATGTTGGAGTTTGATCCATGAGATATCAAAGATGTTGTAAGTTCAAGGACTAAACATTTTCAGAGGAAGATGAATATTATTTCAAAGTCAGAAGATTTCCAAGCATTACAAAACCTCATTATCTCTTAATAGTTTGTTTTACTGTGTTATAAGAAAAGCATCCCTGTGAAATAAAGGATTTCTGTACCCTAGAAAATAAGCATTTTATACTACATAGTGCAGAAAATTTAGGGATGAGGTAAAGGGACATGATTGGTTTGGTGCTTTTTGTACTTTTAATATTACAATGCTTCCATTCACAGAAGTTGAATCTCCTTAAAGCATAGAACACTGATTAAAATTGACTAATAGGGGTAGGACACTTTAATTATTTCTTTCAGTCTATTCTGAGATAAGAAACATGCCTGTGATAGAAGAGATCCTAAAACAATGGGCAACTCTTATTGTTTTACAACTCTGTGTTGAAATATCTGATTCCTAGGGCACAGCTGGAATTGAAACATGTTCTATGGAATATTTCTTCCTTACCCCCAGGAAGTGCAACTACTTTGGTCATTCTAAGGTAGTAAAATGCCATCTGTTCACTGTAGGTATAAGAAGTCATTTCAGTTCATTCCTTTGTTATAATAAATGCAGCCTCAGTTAAAGCTGGTCCTTCGAGGTATATGGGCTGATTAGAAGCTACCACTTGGACTGGGGTTGTTTCTCCTCTTGTTCCCATGACATTCACTTCTCTTCCTTTCTCATCCATCCAAGGATGAGGCAGAAAAAAGATGACAAAGGAGACAGAAATGATCTTAGTTGGCTAATACAACAGTAGCCAGTTAGCTAGGTTTAGTCTATGCTTTCAGTTGACTCTGAAGGAGCATTTTGGGGGGAGGCATTTTGGTGAGTTCTTGTGTGCTCTTAACAACATCATTGGAATTTCCTTGCCTGCAGTTCCCATGAGGAGGGTGGATGCTCCTCCTTCAGATGGTCATTTAGGATTCCCCCCTCACTCCCCAGGCACCCGCTACTGCTTCTCCAGGTTCTTTCTGTAGCATTGTCTTCACCACTCACCACCCCTCACCCCGTGGCTCTCTTGGACAGGACACAACACAATTCTGAGCTGGCTTCCTAACCCATGTCCCACTGGCAATGCTTATGTGTCCTTTGCTCTAACAAACTCATTCACAAGTGATTCCTGTCACAGTAATATCTTTGCTCTGCCATCAGTTCATCACCTAGTCACAGTCTCTCCCCTTGAAGGTTTCTCAGGCAAGCTTCAAATCCCAGTTGACAACCACTGCCACCAAATTCCAGGAGATAAGAACCAAACTTTCTGAAATTCTACCTTCCACCTCAGCTGTACCTGCAAAACATATCACTCCCAATTCTCCCTCCAAACCCTATTCTAATTACCAATCTCCTCTCGGCCTTTCTTTTCCCTTTAATGGGCTGGAAATAGGCCCCACATTTAGGATGCCAAGAGCCATGTTCAGTGCTTCTCTTTGCAGTTTTGGCTTAGTCAGTCTTTTACCTCATTTTGTAAAAAGAAAGTAGTAATCTATTTGTTTTTAACTGATTATTTTAAGATTTCAGCTGAGACTGAGACAAAACCTTTTTCCTTTAAATCCTATTGCATCCAAATATGAGTTGCTTACTGTCTTCTATAAAATTATTTTCAGCACACATTGGTTTATACATATATAACATCTGCAAGGCACAGATGCTGGTCCTGTGGTGTTCCTACTCCACAGGAAAGAGAAAACAGGTAGCAATGAACATGTAGAGTTACCAACTCTACTACCAGAAATTAGGATGAGCCAATATTCCCCAAATTCAGCCTAATATAATGATCAGGAGCATAAATCTAAGAGCTAGACTGCCTGGTCTTGAATCACAGTTTTCCTCCGTCTAACTGTGTGACCTTAGCCAGGTTACTTAATCACAGTGTGCTTAGTTTCCTCACCTGTCAAACAGAGATAAATCAGAACTTTCCTCACAGGGATCTTATGAGAAATACCAGAATTAGTATTATAGTTAGGACTTAGAACACTATAAAGGTGTTTGCTTAAATCAATATAATGCCTAAAAGAGAATGCCTGCAATTCTACATGGACTTCCCTGAGTCCCCTGGATAAATGTTGGATACATTTTAAGTGTTATTAGAAATATAGTGTTGGTGTTATTGTGTGTGTGTGTTTACCACCTGAATCATTCTACACAATCTGGGATAATTCTATAATGGCATATATTTTAGAGTAAAGATTATGAAAAATATGTAGAAAATAAAAATAAGTCCAGGGAAAACAGTATACCTGAAGTCTATGCAGTTAGAAAAATCACCCTCCTCACTTTTTCTCTGAGTTTCCAAATAACCAAAGTAAAAAATGAAATAAGAAATAAAGAAGAAATGTAACTTTATCATATTGTCTGTCAAGCCTAAAACAAATCAAAATTTAAAAAAAATTAGAAACCATATTAACTTATTATAAGAAAATGATCTTTTATGGACAACAGGGCCCAGGAAAAAGAAAAACAGAAACCTTTAGGAAGTGTGCATGAGGCGGGCAATGAGCACTGTCCCAAATACCGCCTTAATGCACTTCCCTTTAATCAATGCAGTTTTGGGCAGTGTTTTCGTATAACAATTCTCAATGTAAGCCTATCTTCTTGCTGCCTAGCTCAATGCTGAGAATCTGGCAAGATGTCTAAAGAATGTGGTCCAGATATTCAGGTCTTCAATATTCTGACGATTAATTTCTGCAGAAATGGATGGCAAACATGCCCTTTAAAGAAGTTTGAGGATAGGTGAACTACAGAGATTCTTGAGGTTATGTACCTAAACAAGGGCCTGCAGTGCTACGATTAAGGGCAAATCCACATGCTTTAAACATCCACGGAACTCATGATAAAGTTGACAGTCCTATTGTTAGAGAATGTTTCTCTGAAGCACAGGACACAAACCCATGTTTCTTTTTGCCACCATGTAGTATGCAGTTCTAAAGTTAACAATAACAAGCTTTATGCTTAGAATTAGATTTGCAATGCTGTTTTGCATAACTCAGAGAGGGGGGTTGATAATAGATAGCCATACCTTAGCTTAGATAGAAAGTTAACAAAGGTGGAACTGAATTTTAATTCCAGTACCCATCTACCCATTAAGTTATGTGACCTTGAGCAAGTCATTGCACCTTCTTGTGTCATAGTTTCATCACCTATAAAATAAATTGAATGCATTTTGGGCTGGTAGAATTGGATGACGTGTGTGTGTGTGTGTGTGTGTGTGTGTGTGTGTGTATGTGTATGTGTGAATAATGACTAAGAAACTGCACTCATTAAATGCCTACCTGCATGCCCATACCCTTTAGAGTGACTTTCTATCTCATGAGAATTTGTCAGTTGTCTCTAAACAGACTTCATGGCTCCGTTTTCCCCAGTTATTAAAAGGGAGAATGTCAAGCCTCATTTTTTCTCATGAAACGTAAAGAGCGGATGAAAGGCGCGGTGAGATGGGACATGAAAGGATGTCCTTTCGCACAGACAGGTGGGCATGTTGTCTGTGGCACCCTGTAGGAAGGAGGCCGCTCACTTCTTTTGCAAGTGTCTTTTTGGAATATCAATTATCCATGAGAGAGACGCTTCAGACTTACTCAAATGTCAAGAACCTTTCTTCCCCACGAGTCTTTCAGAAGTAAAATCGGAGGAAAGCAGCCGTTGTCTGAAGCATGTTCTTGATCAATATCCTGTATGTAATCCTAACTAAATGCTGATGGATCAGCGCAACTTTATACAACTTTCCCCCCTCTCCTCTCTTCCAGCACCAAGGGAAAATTGGAGTTAAGTTTAATGTGGGGACAGATGACATCGCCATCGAAGAGTCCAATGCGATCATTAACGATGGGAAGTACCATGTAGTGCGTTTCACGCGGAGCGGTGGCAATGCCACATTACAGGTGGACAGCTGGCCAGTGATCGAACGCTACCCTGCAGGTAAGACAGTGCATGGGTATCTGGGGAAGATTCAATGAAGAAAACAAAACAAACAAACAAAACAAAACAAAAAAAACAGGACACTGTTTTGCGTTCGTTTCGCCCAATTGTGGGTTTTCTGAGAAACCATCATGTATTAATTGGACTTTAGAGTCACGTGAATGTCCTGCTGTCCTAAGCTGTTCTTGATACGGTATACAACTGGCATTGTACAGAGGAACTTGAAGGCACACGTTATCGTTTGTGAAGTTTAGAACATCAGTGGAATCAGAAAAATGCACACATAAAAGGCACACCATGTCAAAGCTGGTTTTTTGTTTTTGTTTTTGTTTTTTTACTGGATCCTTCCATTTGAACAAAGGAAAGGCTTTGTCAAAAGTAACAGAGTGAAAATTTAATGCTAAGGGAGGGAATATTATAACCCCTTTCCCCAAAAGGAAATAGAACCAGATGATTCCTTTGATGGTGATATGAAATGTGCAGGTGGGCCATGGCACAACCAGAGGAACAGTAAAGAACTATTTGTAGGACTGTAAATAAGCAGTTGTAAGAGCCTGGAAAATAAATGAAGTTTGTTTTCACTGTCACATAGCCGCAGGGTTTCACGAGGATTCTGACACCAGCATCACTCATTTCAAGTCTCTAAAATGAACGGGAGGCTATCAGAGAGAAAATAAAAATGATCGCGTTCATAGTTCATGAGCTTTGTGTGCGCTGCGCTCTTGAAACAAAGGCAGTAGATATGAAATTTGAGCCGTTGTTACTTGTGATTGTATATAGTCTCAATTAAAGCAACATGTTATTTTAAAGTAAAATACACATTAAAAGTATAAAGGTATTTACTGCAATTATAATCCTCTCTACATTTTGGTACAAAAGAGATCACTACAAACATCAATCCCATTTTTCTCTGCTCCCCTTTTAGATAGAACTGGGGTTTTTTGGTGTGTGGATTTTTTTTTTTTTTAAAGAAGAGCTATAGTACAGTATAAAGAGTGTAAAAAGAAATTTTCATTTTTGCATAGTAATAATGATTACCTAAAGATATCTCTGAACCCCTCTATTACAAGTACTTTGTTTCTTGAAAGAAATCATTTGAGGGAATAACTAACTTAATAAAGATCAAGCTTCCTTAGTACTGACTCACACTTATGGAATTGAGTGTCTATGGTGTCCGTGTGCATCTTGGCTGAGTGATAAAATTTTATATCTCCAACCTCATCTCAAACCTCTTTTATAAACTTTGTGCTCTTCAAATATTTACTCAATTAAATGCAATATAAAGCGTCTCTATGACAAAATTTAGAAGCAAGCACATTAATAATAACTGCCTATTATAGTACTGGCAAATAGTGGGCACTTAATAAATATTTGCAGAATTGATATCCTGGGGAATTATCTCAATTTTACACTGTAATTATGAGAATATGTACCCTCTGTGGCCTTCTGTAATAAGATAGACCAGAAGACTGGAAGGAAAGTGCTTGAAATCTACACACATTGTTACATAGCCCCCAACAATCCCTAATTGCATTTACTGAAATCCTACTTGAAATGTATTGTTTTCAATAACTACAGCCTTGATGGAATTACAGAAAAGTAAATTGGTGAATTTCTTAAAATACAATGAATGAATGCCTCTATACTGAAAGAAAGTCATGACAGTGGTCTCCATAAAAGATAGAAAACAGGATGAGCTCTAGATCTTGACCCTGGAATATGTTATCTGTTAATAGTGGACATGAACATGTAAAATTATACATTTTATTATTATTACAGAGCGGCAGTTGCCTCTTGAAGCCTAGCTTTGTATCACCAGTTAATGATTTAAAACTTACCTTTGTTTAGACATTTTTTTACTCTTCCCAACCTTTCCAAGTTGGTATCTTTAAGTACACTGTTCTGGTGAATGTTAATGATGACCTATGGCAGGGGAGGAGAGAAAGTCCCACTGTCAACTTAGTCTGAATTAAACTAAGTTGAAAGTGGCTACACTAGGCTTTATTATATTAATATTCATAATTCTTCTCTAAAAGGGAAGTATGGTTTGCGTTTTCCAAGCACAGATCATCAGAACCTAGTTTATTAATGCATTATTAGTTCATGTGGGTAAATATTTTTGTTTTAAAAAATGCTCATACCTCACTAACATTTTATTACAGCTCATGTGATTAAATGGATCAGAAAAGGTGTACTAGCTAGAGTTCAAAAAAGTTATGGCCCATGTGTTTTTGTGGCATGCTAATATCCAATTTGAATAGTGGTCATTAAGATTGGGCAGTATAGATTAAGTCAGTAAATATTTGTATGTTTTTTTCTGGACTAATATCTGTCTAGCACTTAATAATGTCTTTGTTTACCAATTAAATGGATGCTAAGTATGAAAATATATGTGTATTTCAAAATCAGAAGCTGGCAATATCATAGCAAACTTTAGAAATAGATATTTTGGATGCAACATTTTATATTTAGTCCTTTAACAAAAGAGTATTTTAGGTAATATTAACAAACACAGAAAGCAAAGCATCAGTTTCTCTGAAGGATGCAAGCAAGGGTAAAATGCAGTTTGCCCTCAAGAAAATCAGAGTGCCTGCGGGGAATTTGAATGTATACATATAAAAAGTTAATGATCAATATGTGAAGAGCTCATAGGAGTCAACATGGTTGCCATCAGTATTTTATTAATCATCTCTGTGTGCATTTCAGCATGATGCTGAGGTAGGAAATAAGCCGTGAAAATGCTAAACCCTTTTTTCTTGGAGCTTCACCTGCCGCAACTCCATGAAGGCTGAGTAGAAATGTGAAAGTGTCATCTAGATTAAAGTTACTAGAACAAAGCAATTTCATGTATAAAGTTCAAAAGAAATGTCTAGTATGTCTCTTTTATATTGGTTTGTGGGTATATATATATATATATATATATATATATTAAATTGTGTTATTATTCATTAGAAAAATAGTGAGACCAAAGCCTTTACCACCAAATTCTATAATGAGAGAAGCAGGAACCAACCAACTATACTTGGTTCCTTTTCAAGTGCCTGCGTAGCTACATAAAGATAGCAAGGGCTGAAATTAGTAATTAAGTATAGCACTTAACCTTCCATTATAGGGCTTTGTGCTAAGTGCTTTTCTATGAGGCAATTTATCTGGTAGCGACACTATCCTATATAATAAAACCCTATATGCAAATTGACCGAACTGCGAAATGACTAGCAGAATGACCAGTCACACTGACCACCAGGGGGGCAGACACTCAACGCAGGAGCTGCCCCCTGGTGGTCAGTGCACTCCCAGAGGGGGAGTGCCACTCAGCTAGAAGCTGGGCTCATGGCTGGAGAGAGAAGCGGCAGTGGCAGGAGCCTCTCCTGCCACCTCCGCTTCAGGCGGATGGTAAGAAGCAAGGAGTCCCAAACTGAGAGAGCCCTGGACTGTAAGACCCCTGGACTGCGATATGGTGCAGGCCAGGCTGAGCCCCCTACCTCCCCCTCAGTGCACAGATTTCATGCACTGGGCCTCCAGTACCTTTAATAGAAAGTACCTAAAGCATTGACCAGAGGTTCCCACCCATAATGGTCTGGAAGGCTTTCATAGAGAAACTAATTAGTAGAAGTAGAATAGATACTCTTTTGGAGTGTATAAAATAATCCTAATAACTCAACAATTTAATTTTAGAATAAATTCTGAATTTTCAGCATAAAAACCCAGTTTGTGTTATTTTCTGTGCAGGGAGCAAACTATCCTAATGAAAGGGTAATATGCTAATTAGACCGAGCATCCTTTCAGACAAAGCCATGGTGGCAGGGCTGAGGCAAAGGCAAAAGAGGCAATAAGGCCTACAGGGGATAGCAGTTAGGGGCATCAGGATGGCAGGGAGAGCAGTTGGGGGGGTCAGGTCAGCAGGCGGGTGAACAGTTAGGAGCCAGCAGTCCAGGATTGTGAGAGAAATGTCCAACTGCCATTTTCAGGATTAGACCTAATCCAACCGGCAGTTGGACATCCCCTGAGGGATCCCAGATTGAATAGGTTACAGGATGGGCTGAGGGATCCCCCTCCCTGTGCATGAATTTCATGCACCAAGTCTCTCTATATAAAGCCTAAGCGGCTGAATGACTGGTAGACTGGTTGCTATGATGGGCACTGACCACCAGAGGGCAGATTCTCAATGCAGGAGTACCCCCTGGTGGTCAATGCACTCCCACAGCCAACCTTCTGCAGTCCTTCCCCCTGTCCAACCCAATCAGCTCCAATCACCAGCCAGGCCAAGGGATACCACCTGTGCATGAATTCATGTGCCAGGCCTCTAGTACAAATAATATTTTGCAAACCATTTAAAGTTGAGAAAACCATTTATTGATGGTTATCAAATAAATCTCTAGAATATGATGCATCATTAATCTCTGATTTGCCCCTAATTACAGTTAGATAGCAAAAATTTTATCTATATAAGAATAGACTTCTCATAATGTTAATCCAAAAAGCCAAACACAATCTTCCTTGCTCAGACTAAAGATTGCTCCATATAAATCACAATTACCTTTGAAAATAAACCTTTGACTCTTTTTCTACCACAGCATGCCAAAATGATGTCTATTATATTATGTATATTAAGGTCAAATATTCATTGTATTCCTGTCAAGTTAACACTTCAAATCAACACAAATTTAAAGGAGATACATACTATATTAAAGGAACATGCTAGGTTTACCATCTGGTTAAAGGGATAAGTAAAAAATGTTCAAAATTCAAAATATAATATGTGAGGAAGTATAAATTATTTCATATTGATATTTGGCTAGTTTTTGAATAAGACAAAAAGAAAATATATTGTAAGGAGGAAGAGGCAAGTTTGGAAAACCTTGATTGGGGACTTAAAAGATTAGATTTTCACTTGGAGGAAGGCATGCATTCAGTTGAATGGGATTAACAGGAAGAGACAGTGACAGAAAATACTTAGAAAGCTATTAAATAGTCCAGGTATCAAAAAATAAAGGCTTTAA